CAGGCTGATTGTGAAACCGAAGCATTTTGAGGCATAGGCAGAGTGGTCCACAATAAGCTGAATGTCCTCGAGTGCATGTGCAGTGAGAGCCCAGTTGTCAGCAAACAGATCTCTTAGTAGCTGTTCAATGACCTTGGTGCAGGCCCTGAGTCGCTGTAGATTGACTAGACCCCCATCCAATATAAACCAGAGGTCTAAGCCTCTGTCAAAGTCCTGGAATGTGATCAAGAGCACGGCTGAAAAGACAGTGGCAAGGAGGGCTGGAGCCATTACACATCCTTGTTTGGTGCCGTTGGTCAGTGATTCTCAATCAGGGGTACGCAGAGGTCTTCCAGGGGGACATCAACTCATCTAGAGATTTGCCTAGTTTTACAACAGGCTACGTAAAAAGCACTAGTGAAGTCAGTACAAACTAAAATTCCATACAATGACTTGTTTATACTCCTCTATATACTATACACTGAAATAGAAGTACAATATTTATATTCCAGTTGATTTATTTTATAATTACCTGGTAGAAATGAGAAAGGAAGCCATTTGTCAGTAACAGTGTGCTGTGACACTTGTATTTTTATGTCTGGTTTTGTAAGCAAGTAGTTTTTAGGTGAGGTGAAACATGGCATAGGTTAGACAAATCCAACTCCGACAGGGGGGCAGTCGTCTGGACAGGTTGAGAGCCACTGCCATTGGTGACAGGGAAGGCTTCTGATGAGTCATAGATCATAGAAGATCAGAGTTGGAAGGGACCTCAAGAGGTTCTTGTCCAATCCCCAGACAGATTTTTACCCCAGTTCCCTAAATGGACTCCTTAAGGATTGAACTCACAACCCTGGGTTTAGCAGGCCAATGCTCAAACCACTGAGCTATCCCTGCCCATTATGCCATCATGAAGTGAGTGGATGACAGCAATCATCTTCTCTGGGCAGCCAAAATTATTAAGGCGTTTCCACAGCGCCTCGCAATTCACTGTGCCAAAGGCTTTGGTCAGGCCAACAAACACCACGTACAGATCCTTGTTCTGTTCACCAGCCTTCTCTGCCAAACTCATGTCCATGGTGCCATGGCCAGGACGAAAGCCACACTGTGACTCTGGATACACTGAATCCACTAAGTGAGAGATGAGCCTGCTGAGGACTGCAAGGATCTTCCCATTATAGACAGTCGTGTGATTCCATGATGGTTCTCACAGCAAGGTATGCGTCCCTTCCTCTTGTACAGCTGGACTATGAAGGCATCCTTGTATTCCTGGGGCACAGTGTCCTGTTCCCATATTGTCTTGAAAAAGCTGGTGAGTTTTCTGACCAGGTGAACACCTCCACATTTGTACACATTAAGTGGAATACAACCAGGGGCAGAGACTTGGCCCTGGACAGCTGCTTGATGGCCTTAGTAACCTTGTCTAAAGCAGGGTCCACGCACAGCCCCTCCAGGACAGGACACTGCGGGAGTGAGTCGATGGCTCCATTGGACATAGTGGACTGACGGATCAGGAGAGGAGCAGAGTGTCTGCCCAGCTTTTGTCTGTGAGGAGCCAGTTACCATCTGCTGTGAGGACAGGATATCAGAATATCGTCCATGGAAACTACAACTCCATTTGTGTTAGTTAGCAATTCTGCCATTGATTTTTGGAAAATTTCAGGTGCACTGGCAATTCCAACAGGTGATCTTTGAAAGCAAAATCTCCCAAAGGGTCTGATAAATGTAGTCAGTTGAGCACTTTCTTTGGCTAACGGAATTTGCCAGAATCCACTCGAGGCATCCAGCTTGGAGAACACTGCAGCTCCTTTCACTTTGGGGAGGAAGTCAACCAGTGGCAGGAGGGTAGACCCCGGCCCCGCACCCGGCCTGTACGCACCCCACATTAAAGCGCTGCCTCCCCCGTCGGCAGCCCTGCTGGTAGGATCTATACTGGCAGGGCCACCAACAGGGAGGCATGGGGGGAGCGCAGCAATGTTAAAGCACTGCTGCGGCAAAGGACCCTGCAGCGTTTTAACGTCCCTGCCCCTTTTGCCTCACCCCCCTCCCCCAGGCCACTGACGGGTGGGGGGGAGGGGAGGCAAAGGGAGCAGCTGCCCCAGGGCCAGTGATTTAAAAGGGCCTGGGCTGCGAACGCTGCTGCTGCTACCGGGCCCTTTAAATTTGGGCTTTGGAGCTGTGCTCCAGCTCCGCTCCAGCTCCAAGCAAAAACCTGCAGCTCCACTGCTCCGGAGCTACTCCGTGCTCCAGCTCCAGGCTCCGCTCCAAAGCCCTGCTTTAAATCACCACTGGAGCCCCGGGTGGTGCGGGCTGGTGCGGGCCAGGCAGCCCCGGCCCTGTATCGGTAAGTGTCCGAAGTTCCTTTCACCCCTCACTGTATGGTTCAGCATTGCCTCTTAACATCATTTGCACTGGATCTTCTTTCAGACATATCACCAAATATTCCATCAAATTCGTCCACCTTTCTCACTAGGCCCATCACGGCTGCCCTGCTGTGGCTGGGAAGGCTGTTGGTCTGTGTCCTTGGATCACATACACTCTGAACACAAAGCTCTTGTCTTTGTAAGTTGTTCGGTGGTGAGCTGGCCCATGCAGCTCAGAATCCTCCAGGGCTAGTCAGAGCTATGACAGGTAAATTCAGCTCTGGGAGGGGTTGAAGGCAATTGCTGATGAGATGATGTCAGCTCTGAGTCAGTTTTAAAGTCAATAGTCTCACCAACGGAATAGTCCGTTTCACTCTCCAGGCACGTTCTGTGTCATCACAAGTGATAGATCCCAGAACAACGGCTCGTCTTGATTGTCTGTAATATGAGTCAACTCCCTGACTGCTTTGGTGCGGCAAACAGCCACAAAATGTCCATGTTTCGTGGACATATCACCATGCGCCTCTGGCTGGACACGAATCATCTCTTGGGACACGACTTTTTCCACACCTTGGGCACTAGGCTGGAATTTGTCCCTCTTAGCCTGGGAGGTCTCTCTCCTGGCATCAAGGGTTTATGATACACCCAAGTGTCTGTTTGCAGCTTCTAAGCTAGTTTCAAGTTTTTCAAGTTGCTCCTTCCATTTGGCCTGTTTGGCTAATTCTGACTGCTTTGCTCTCTGTATAGCTGTGGCTGGGGTTAAATCTCTTCAGCTGGAGCTGCTGTGAAAGGCTTTTATATGTTAACCCAATAACCAGCCTGACTCTGATGTTTTCCTGTTTTGCATTCCCCAAATCTCGGGTTTCAGCCAATGTATTCAGAACTCTTAAACAGTCAACATTTTCCCCTGGTTTTTGAATTCTCTGGTGAAAACATGCTCTTTCATAAACTACATTTCTCTGAGGTATAAAATATGCATCAAACATAGCCAAAACCTGTTCATAGTCATCCTTTGTGACTGTGTCTTCAGTAAAGTCAATAGATTTAAAGATATTCTCTGCCTGTTTCCCCATGGCATAAATTCGAGATGATACCTGAATATCTCCAGTTTCTTTGTGGAGTGTTTTTTTTTCAGTTCAAAATCTTGCAAATTACTGCTTCCAGTCTGTGTA